TTATTGTATTTCCTGTCAAATAAAAGGTATGTATCTGGTGTCATAAGTGTCAGATACTTCTTGCCAAGCTCTGTGACTGAAATAGATACTATGTTCTTGAAACATTACAAATTGTCAGGCTGTAAGCCTAGGAAAGTATGTTTTAAAATCAAACTACTTGGAATTAATATTCACGTAAAATGAATTGCTCCAGCCCATTAAATTTGTATCCATCACTACTACATAGTAAATTTGAAAATCATATTCTATTGGTGTACCATGCAGTGGAACCTGTTCGGCAAATAAATCCTGTCTCTTTTTTTGGTACTCCTACTGGCAAAAATATAAGCAAGTAATCTAGTTCTATACTTCTCTAACTAGGAAACAGCATCCTTTGTCTTATGACTAAGTACATTACTTCAAGTATTTACTCTCTTGATCTTCCCAGTAAGATTTGCTGATACTGTTTTCAAATGTAGTAGTGATTTATAAAAATTCCACACCCTGCCTTATTACATTTCTTAATTAAAAGTCTTACTACCATTGAAGTTCAAAATGTTCAACGGCTCTGTTACAGGTATACTAAACAGACTCTGCAGATCATGACTCAGCAGTTTCCTCTAAACGAATCGTTGTTTCTGGGGGTCGTAGTCATTGTGAATACTTCACCTGTCGTATTTATCTCTGGATTACTCAGCATCTTTCTTTATATACCCAACATTATTCTCAAAAAACTTGCCACAACGTTTCTGAGGATTTCTCAAGATAGTGATGCCATTCCCAATATTTTAAATAATTTAAATATCAGTTCTGAAGAGAGAAAATTTAACACTATAGCTCAACTGGTTCAAAAAGAGGGAACAATTTTTGGGGGGTGATCTCTTTTATTAGACTCAATTACCTAGTTGGAATAAAGTTAGACAAGTGTTCAAATGCAACACATTCTTTGTCAGGTGAGAAGGAGGCTTTCTTTGTAACCACAGAGCCCTGAATTTTATAGTAAAAACCCCACTGATTTACCTACCTAAGCATTGTTTACCAGTACAATATTTTTTTAGCTTCCTTCCCTTTTTCAATCAAAAAACTCTTGGGATTAACCAGTTATTTTTCAGGGAAGAATGTTTTTCATTAAACAGGGCAAATATTGAGGGAGAAGCCTGTTTACCATTTATAAATACATTTATAAAGTTCAAATCATGGTAAGCAGCAAGATTCAGGATGCTTGGAGCTCTGGGGTTCTGGTCCAGCTCACCTTCTATGTTTTAAATTATTTCTAATTAATCTAAGATTCTACACATGCACATTTGGAATGTGACTATTGTGGAGGTTTCTGGTACTCCTGATCGCTGACAAAGAAAGAATTCTCCTTTCCTTTGAGTTGCATTGCTATTGATCTATGCTCATCCTTAACACACAGCTTGTATATACAAGCCCACCCTCATTTTAAAAAGTAGCCTTGGTACTTGTTCTTAGTAGCGTAATCATAGTAGGAGGGAGTTAGCATGAGATAACTACCCATGCACTTATTTACCCTGCTCTTGGACAGGGTTTCCAAGATGTGTAATTAAACTGTTAATAGGCCCCAAGATAGCAAGTTACAAGCAACTTCTGTTTTCTTAAATGAGGTATAGTTACATGAGCTTCAGATAAACCAAAGGCCAAATTCTATTCCAACCATTAGGCATATAAATGTACTTAAGCACCTAAGTGCAATTCTGTTCCACCACAGTCAAAGCCCTGAAAAGCTCTTAATATAAAAAGTGGCTGGATTATCCTCCTACACCTCACTGGGCACATCTACATGAGATGTTTACTGCAGAGTAGACTAATTAGCTCCACAGTAAATGTTGCACATCTACACATGTGCTCCTATTAGGCTGGAGTAAACTAATTCGTTTTCACTGCAACAGAACACATGTAGGATGCTGCCTTGGCTGGCTGGGGCATGAAGGTGCTTTAGTGCAGGAGATACCTGTTGGCTTGTCCCACATTGGAGCCCCCTTGTGCACCAGTTGAGCCAGGAGGGGAGGACATCGACCCAGGGGAGGAGCTTGCCTGGGCTGGCAGGCTGGCCCCACAAAACCCCCTGCCAACTGGGGCTACTCCATCACAGCTCAGTGTGTTGTGGTCCCAGGCGCATGTTCAAACAGTGCCTCTGGAAGCAATAAACTCTGGAGCAATAAGCACCGGAGTTTATTGTTTCATATTAATTGCACATGTAGCTGCGCCCATTGTGACTCAATACTAAGACTAAGATAGTAGTTGTTACAAAGTAAATAGATCCATTAATGGATTTTCAGGGATCTGAGCAGGGTGGAATGCAGCTGAACACTTAACGTTCCTAAGTCCATTTACATGCTCACTAGTTGGAATGGAATCTAGCACCAGTGGCAGGTCTGTTAAATGTGAGCATTTGCAAACTTCTTATTTGTCACATTTCTTTTTGGAACTGAATGCAAATAGAGCTTAAAAAATTCTGTTTTCATTTACTTGCTAAATGTAGGTCTCTCCCAAGTTGATTAATTTATATTCAATGGGATTGACTCCATTCTGTTGTACCAGACTTTTCTTTCAATTATACTAGTCAAGCAGCCCCTATTTTAGGTTTAAATGGTAAAAATGGGAACTCATACATGGCACTGACAGACATGGGAAACCCTTCCCACAATAAAAACAGTACTTTACCAGAAGAGGAAGAATTAGTTTGACCCAGCTTCCTAGCGTCTGTATAGTTTGGGCACTTTAGCAGGGCTCCTTGGTGCTTTTATCTAAAACCGATTCAATTAGCTATTACATAAAAGCACCAAAATGGCCCACTGAAGTGCCAAATCTATACAGATGTTGGGTGAGCCAGGTCAAATTGATGCAATCCCTCTTCTGGGCATGTTTCATAGTTTCATAGAGTCGGAAGGGACCTGAGGAGATCATCTAGTCTGGCCCCCTGCCGTGGCAAAAAAGAGTACTGGGGTCAAACGACCCCGACCAGATGTTTGTCCAGCCTTTTTTTAAAGACCCCCAGGGAAGGAGCCAGCACCACTTCTAGCCTGAAACTACCCTTCGCTAGCTTGTGTCCATTGTTTCTTGCAACTCCCAGGAGTGCTCGGGGGAACAGGGACTCTCCCAATGCCTGCTGGTCCCCCTTGACTAGTTTGTAGACTGCCACTAGATCCCCTCTCAGCCTTCTCTTTTGGAGGCTGAACAGGTTCAGGTCCCTCAGCCTCTCCTCGTAGGGCCTGCCCTGCTGACCCCTGATCA